TCTTTCTCTCTAGCTTACTCTCTTCTTCTTTTTTGTGAAAAAGAAAATAAGGAGAAAAGAAGAGTAGAAGTGCCTCTGAAGAGAAAGAAGGAGAAAGAAAGATCGGGGATCGAATTCTACGGACTAATTTGCCCCGGGCTTCTTTACGACCGTAATTTTAAATTCCTACGAAAAAAAGGTAACTATATTTTGGCGTTCTCTTTAAATAGAACAACAGAGAAAGATAGAAAGATCGAACGCTTACTCGTGTACGCACTCTCAAAGATGACGAGACTCGAGCATGTATTGGAGAGAGATCTACTGGCTCAGCACCTATTATAGTAATTTCACGGTACGATGTCTATTCCCGCGCTTCGGAGGAGCAGGACTAATTTCATTAGGGATAAAGATCATCATTATTTCGCGACCATCCCGAAAATTACTGACGTGCCTTTTTCTCTTTCTTTCTCTTCTTTTCACGATTCGATTTTTAAAAGACGCAACCCTCCTGCGCACTTCCATCCACACCCCGAGGCTCTCCTCGAAAGCGTCACTTTTATTGCTCGTTTGCCAAACGGACAACGAGCCGCTTTAATAACGGTGCGTGTCTTTAAGTATCATCCTCCATCTCTCTCCTCCCACCGTTCGATTTAGATACGCTTTATATAGAAAAAAAAATAAAAAAAAAATAAAAAAAAAATAAAAAAAGAATACCTAAAGCAAAGGTAAAAAAGAAATCTTGTTTATGAACAATTGATTCGATATAATAGGTTTGAATTTGAAAGAGGAAGATACGATCTCTAAAATAAAAATGATAAAACGTTGGAAAGTAAAAGGGGAAAAGGGTCGACAGGAACGAGAGAAGTCCACATCCGGTTGGCTCGACTCGTCTCCCGGCGCATACATTGTAAGATCACGATAAATCGACAGTCGATCGGGCGTCACGTAACTCACGTACACGAGAGAGCGAGCCTGGCAGCCAGCTTTTTCTTCGACTGGCAGTCCGGTGTCCGGCGCTGACTGATCGTAAGAATCCTCGACGAACGCATGCTGTTGATGGTGCGACCATCTCCGCTGGGGAACGACATTCTATGCGATTTTTCTCTCTCCCTGTCCTTTATCCTTCCTTTATCTTACTTTGGTCAAATCGTACATTTCTTCGTCGAAAAAAGGAACAGTATAGATTTCGAATGTATTTTAAATCAGCGTTCAAACGATCTCATTCTATTCGCCTCCTTTTCTATATTGCACAGAAAAATATTTAACTTAACAAGAGTGAACGGTCAATGATCTAAGATTATTGTTATTACAACTTACGTATCATTCGGCGGAGTTACGCATTTTATGCACTACATGCTACCACGTGGTTGAACGAGATCACTGCGTTACGACTAATTGTTGCCTCTAATTGACAAAGTTCTCAGGCTTGGACTCTCAACGCATTCCCCGTGATTCCTCTCTCTCTCTTTCCCTCTTTCTCTATTTCTCTTTCAATCGCACACTATGAGACCAACGAGAAATAGTTTCTCGTTTCCTTCTTTTTATTCTTCATACCTCGCTTGGGGAAAAGAAGCGTGAGCCACGGCTTCGTTATCGGGATTTTACCGGTCAGTACGAAGAGCTTGTCTCCTAACCTCCTTCTCATTCCCCCTCTTCCCTTTCCCTCTCTTTCTCTACTACAAGCCAACGAGCTCGAGAAAACGAATCGGAAAAAGACTTTTTTGCAAAATCCCGTTGGATTTATCGACGTAGCACGATAAACTCTTCTTCCTAGACTTATCGTACACGTAAAAGAAAAACAAAGTAAAACTTAGACACGATTGAAATAGCATGAATCCTGTTGCTTTGTCGTCATAGTAACACTGTAAAATCGACGAGATGACTTATCGACTGCACTTTGCCTTGGCTTTCGAATTGTAGAAAAAAATCGCGCAGAGTCTTTTGCCCCGGGCTGGCTAAGGGTATTCTTCATGAGGGTAGACACGCACCCTTCTCTTACTTTGCTCACGTTCCACTCGAAATTTTGCTCGCCTAGCGATTTCTTTAACATTTATTTGACAGCTGTCGGCCACAATGCGTACGAGTTTACTTACCGCATGGCTAGCAAACCTATTTCATTTCTTCTCTTATCAAAATCCATAGAAATAAATTAGTGTATATCTGAATTCGACATTCCATGTTCCTAATTTTTACAGTACTTAACGGTACATTACTTATTGTACTGTTGTGTATTGAAACATTAGGATGTTTAATGTCGTCCAAAAAAATCGCGTGATCGCGATATATCGAAATTTCTGATTTCACCCCATTCGCGATTACAAGATCTCATCGTGTCGTTAGTACAACGCCAAACTACAAAAGCGTCCAGATACTTTAGCGTACGAGCACGTTAATTATACAGTGTCGTAGGTGCGATAAAACGAAATACGAATACTGATCGCTGATTTTGAACAGAAAGAGGAAGAAAGAGAAAGAGGAAAAAAGGACTTCGCGAACAAATAACTATCGCGTAACGAGTCACGCGAGGACATCACGCGAGGCTGCGAACGAATCGACGATATTGCTGGGTCGTGTTAATTACTTAACCTTTCTCTTCTCTTTTTAATTCCCTTTCTTTCTTTCTACGTTATTTCTGTTTTTCACAGATTTCGGAAATAGGTCTTATTATGTTTACATAATTTTTATATAATAAAATATCAAGTAAAACTAATGATATAATGACAATGTTATTTATATTACAATGTGAGGAATTAAAAAATGAATTATAATACTTTCTTTATAAAACTGACTGTTTCTAAAACTAGCGTTAATACTTGTATAATATAAGAGTTGCAATTGGTATTTCTTTAAGAAAATAATGATTACAAAATTATAATGGTAAACTCTTAAAGTGAATTAATTTTTCTGTCACTTGGGGGTTTTTAGGTTGATTTTCGTTTAATTTGACCCAATCGTGCTCTTAGAAGAATCGTTACTCTTAGAAATTTTCTGTTGAAAAATCACGCGAGTTTGGTGTTGTTCTTTATTCTCAGTCAAAAGAAGAGCTCGATTTTTTTATAGTTTAACGAAGTAATGAGAACGAGGAGTCCCTAGACGACATGTCCCACTCTAGTTGCTTCGTTTCTCGGCCCTATGGACAGCATAGCAAAGGGTGGCGACACGGGCGCCGAGGGGTACATTTTCGAGGGTGGTTTCGCGCGTCAATGCTTTATTAAGAAGCACTTGTTTAAAGGCAGCCCCTTCCTCTCAAAAGCCGACAGCCAATTCGACCGCGTCGTGTCTGTGTCATTCGGATATATAAATGGATGGAACGGAGCGAAGATCGGAAGAGTGAGTTGCTGCAAGGGTATGAGTTTGAGGTAAATGAAACAGAGTGAGAGAGAGAGAAAGAATAGCTCGTGGCTATGGCGATGGTTTTGGGGTGAGTCAAAAGCACTGTCGTCGTGTCGTCGTAATTGAAGTTATTGCAATATTGTGTCCTGTCAGGCTGGTTCACCTCCCTTTTACTATCTTTTTCTTTTCTTCTTTATCTCTCTCATCCTGATATCCAGTTTGCTGGATTGTGTAACAGTCGCCACATTGCTTTAATCCGCTGTCACGATATTAAAACGGCTACGAATGTAAACTGCAGTGCACGAAATGCATACGTTTACGTACACGTGTACAAGAGAGCAAGAGAGAGAGAGAGAAAGAGATGCAGAAAATCTTTTTTGGCAGAACATCAAGCAAATCTATTATCACGGATATTCTACATAGATCAAGAAGAAATGGTGCGCGATACGAAAGACCGAGAAAGAGAGAAAAAGAAATTTTGTCGCTTAGACTTCTTTCTCATTGCCCGCAAGATGTCCTTTTAAATCCTCGTTTGGTAATAATGTCGGTTATTCGCCTTAAATCCTATACTTGGCACAGCAACTAATTGGTCGTATCTCGCGTTAGTTGACGTGCTTTATCACGCCATCCGTAACGAGTTGGAAAGCACTCTATCGCGTTACTCTTCTTCTACTAACCATACGAATTTCGTTCTCTTTCGTTTCTATTCATTTTTTAGTATTTTTCTCTTATTTCTGGCACGTACATGCGAGCGCGTATATTTGACGCATAGAATCGACCACCTGTCGATGAGAAAGACGATAATCCTATAAATAAGAAAAATTTGGAAATCCTCTTTGAAAGAAAATGAAAGAACATTACTAAAGGCCATCGAATTCTCGTTGGTTCGTTCAACGCGTAAACGAAAAATACTTTGCCGATCGCGACTCATCCCAAAAGAAAGAAGAGAAAATAGAGGTAGGAACGAATACGAGTTTCCTCTCGCTCGCGTCGGACACGAAATTCAATTCGTACCGTGAATAACGACTAACAAACCGCAGTTATATCGTAAAAAGCAATGCAGCGGCGGGATGTGAATTAATTCTGGCTTGCGCTGTGCTTCCACCTCTACATTTCGCCTTTCTATCTCTTTCTTTCTCTCTCCCTTCCACTATGTGTTCTTTCAACGAGAGTACATACAAAACGAATCTTCCTACGTTCGACTTATCTATCTCTCTCTTTCTCTCTCTTTTTCTCTCTTTATCCCGACTGGAACGTCCCAAAATTCAATAAAGGCCAACGAGTATGAGGTCTCCCTCGCTTCCATAGCTGTTCGTATGGGGTGCGTTGTCTACTACTGCGAGTTAGGAGTACCAGAGTCATCCCAAAGAGAGCGCAAAAGAGAGGGGACGGAGAAAGAGGCTCGGGTGCATACATTAGCGGGAACAGTGTGGAGATATTGTCTGAACAAAGGGATCGGCTAGTACCTATCGAAAAGGCGATTAAGCGAGGATAAAGTTATCCCCCGCATGCCACCGAGGAAGAATCGTGAATTATCTACGTTGGAGATTGGCACCAAGACGATCTTTCTTTTTTTTTACTCATTTTATTTAGGGAAAAGTAACCCTGATATTCGTAATAACAAAAAACAATAAAGTAAATTTTATTTAAAGGACCTATATTGAAAGAAGGAGTAGGAACACACGTACCCACGTGGTCTCGGATCCCGAGGGCACAGCATCCTCTTTCGCGTATCCTCTTCGTTATCTTTCTTTTCGTTCTTGAACCTCCAGCATCAGCACTACCACCACCACCACCACCACCACTACCAACTGCCACCCCTGCTTGCCTTCAAGCCGGTACTCCCTCCTCTCGAGAGCACCACTACGAAAGAAGAGGAGGGGTTTCATCGACCACGTGATCCACGTGACCGGAAACACAGGAAACACGAAAAAGTATGTGGATGATAACACTCGCGTTTTTGAACGCTCTCACTCTTTCATTCTTCCGGTTTATCATCTCTCAATAATTCATAATCAAGGAACTATGGAAGTCGAAGAAACTATTTGACGGCATTTTTATTTCTTTATCCTAGTTCCATACACGTGTTTGCTTAGCGGCTTTTTGTCTTTTCACGAGAAAGTAGCGCGTGTTCCCCTTCTCTTTCTTTCTCTCTCTCTTTCTCTTTCTCTCTCTCGATGAAGAAAACGGGGAAGGCACGAGCGCGGCAAACGCGACTACCATTGAAGCAGTTGCACACGGAAAGCGGTGGCCGCGTTGCGGGACTTTGGTATACTGGGAGTATGGTAAGTAGGTACACCCCTGCTACCACCGCCCCCTTCCCTGGCTCTCCTCCTCTCTCCAACGAAGCGAAGCTCCTCGTATTTCTCCTCTCTACCCCTCCAAAGTATCGCGACGCAACGCGAAGCACCGCCACCATCTCCACCACCACCATCGTACTACCAACGTGCCTCCACCCCCGATCTCTCTTCTCACCGCTGTTCTACCCCTCTCCCATATCTTGCCGCCGCCTCTGACTCGCAACGTTTGTGGCTAGTCAGGAGCGTATCAATCGTAGGAGATCGATTCAAGAATCCTATTTGTAACACTAAATTCTTCAACAATATTTGTCTTTGATTACAAATGGAAATTTACAATTGCTATCAGTCATAAATGAGAATCACTCTATGGTAAGCGGGAAAATTTTGTAAATGCATCTATTTTCGAGTCACCCTAGATACCGTAGAAAGATCCACCTTTTTTACAAAGAAGCCCGGCACTGGCATGCACCAGTAAACGCATAAAAGATAGAGTTTGCATGCTTACATATCTATTATAATAGTGACGTTTGTTCCTGTTCGTTTATTTTTTTCTTCTTCTCACTCTCTTTCTTCCTCCTAGGTTCCTTCGATGCATTCTATCTCGCTTCAGTGCGCGCATAAATTACTGCTTTCAAATGCAAAAGTATGAATAAGGTAAATTTCCCCGATGATCGTCGTACTTTTTTTCCATTAAATTTTCCTCCATACTTCCTTTCATTCTTTTGAAATTTTGTCGCTAACACTTACTTTTAGTATTTCGTTCTAGTCCCGCATAGGAATTGGATTACATAGGTAGAGAGATGCAAGGGTGTAGACGACGAAGGCTACTCAGAGGGTGGAGAATGGGAACGAGAGAAACACGGCGATAAGGGACGACGAAGCGTTCCAAGTACCGGTGAGCGACTTGCTCGTGAAACCGGTAGGACGAGGAGGACTAGAGAGAGAAAGAGAGAGAGAGGAAGAGGGAGGATCGTTTATTAGCAATTGTAATGCAAGATCGCGGAATGCATGGGATCTTCGCGATGCCTCCGTACGGTGAGATGTTGGTACACGTGTTCCCCTTAACACGATTCCCGATTCTGCGAGTATTCAATGCCAGAAGCATTGTGCTGATAGTCAATATTTTTTGACTTTTTTTTTCCTTTCGTTTATCAAAAACTTTCTTCTTTTTTATCCTCATAAAAAAACGTGTGACAGTACTGTCGTTTCATTTTCGAATAGGATCATTTTCTTTTTTGATCTCGTCTGACGTTAGCAAGGAACAAAGTTTACGAGGTACTCCGGGATAAATCGCGATCTCCAGTCGTTTCATTTAATGGCGATCTTCTCCTTGTACGGCACGTGGGAACTTATTTGTTGAAAGCGTATTCTTTAGCAGCTCGTGCTCAACGCAACTTAGGCAAATGCAGACCAAAGCTGTTCGTGAGCGAGGAAATATTATGAGCACTACTTTCCACTTTGAATACTCGTGGTGTACCTTGTAAATTGAGATCGTGCCAAGCTCTGGACAGCCAGGTAATAAAGCAAACCTGTATTAGTTCATCTGCTTCTTCAAAGTATCATTAAGATCTTGTAAGGTAGTAGTAATAAAACTTCATTGTTTGTAATAATAATGAGGATAACGTTGTAGTAACGATTGTCTTTGTTTTAATAGTCGTCGTTACACCTTACTTCTTCACTAGATTATTGCAAATATCTGTAAACAGATGATTCCTTAGCACTATATTTTTCTCTTTCCTTTCAATAGAACGTAACATTTATTTTCATTACGTATCGTAAAAAATCGTCGCAGTAAACGGAGTTTTGCAAAGGCAAGTGTAATATGTATGCAACTCGTGTCTCGTAATCCGTATCTTCCCTTCCTCTCGCATTCATTTATATAACAATAATACCGGAGCCAAATAGGTTCCGCTAATATCGTCACGTTAGATAGTTACTGTCATCCGGTCCCATAATAAAAGGGTTGACGCATCCGAGTACTCCCTTTTGAACATAAAGACCACTCATTGTAGAAATTCGCTTTAAAATACGAATGTATCATATCGAACAAACAAGTATCGAATATTATACGAACAGTGCAAACATGAAAAAAAGATAGTTTATAATGCGCATCTTCGAATACGATCGAAGAATTTGAAAATATCTCGGGGGGAAAAAAAATTGCCAAAGGAACTGCTTCAAATCGTTTATGTTAATCGGTCGTGACGTCACTGGCAGTCTCCCTCCGTCTAGCAAGAGCAATATCAACCCCAAGCCGTCGTCGTAGTCATAGTCGGTGTCGTAGTCCACGATGGTAGCCATTCGTTCCTGGTCGCATCTCTACACCCTTTGTAGACGTTAACTCAAAGCGAGTGAACCTATAGCGTTAGCTGCAGGGATGAGTTTTAACTTCGGGGTGACTTATCCTGAACGTTATCTATTTCGACAGCGTATAACCCTGGTGGTGCGTTGGTGGTATCCTTGTGGTCTATTATGGGGTTAACGCACCACATATTATGAAAGTCTCGTAATTATATTTAAACTATACTTTGAAAATGATAGATATTCTTGTCCGATCGTCGTTTGCTTAGAAAATCACCTACCAGGAGACTACTCTTCTGCAGGTATAGAAAATGTAGGCAGGACGTATGCAATATGGCATTCAATTTGCGAAAGATTCGCTGTCTGGTATCGCAAACAACCGCTATTGGGTTTCATTTAATGAACCGAGCCGGAACCTTCCGAAAGAATTTTTGTGTTGTGGGCTTGGTGCTTAAATTGGATCTTCCTCCGTCCTTCCCATTTCTGCCTTCTTCTTTTATTCGCTGTTTTATTTGCTTCCTGATACTTATGCATTGATCACTTGTTAGCAAAAATGAGTTTGTATCAATAAATTCGATCGGTTCTTGTATTTTTCGAAACAGATAGTAAGTAAATCTCTCGAGTAGTTCGGTTATTTTCTAACGTGAACGCACGCGGTCAAGAAAAATGGCTCGTTAAAAATATGAAGGCTTAAAGACGAATCCTCTTAAAAAGTGCTTGAGGGTAGGGTCGAGAAGGGGAGAAATGAGTGAGGGCGGGGGGTGGGTGGGGGGAAAAGTAAAACGGGACACCGGTATCGACGCCGTATCGTTCCATGGCGCAAGTGTCCGGTAAGCTAAGCGGATCCACGATAATCCGGATTACGTATTTGCCCGGTTCTCTGCCTCCTGCCATCTCGATCTCGTGCCAGTCGGAGCCAAAGACGTATTTGCCTCCTGGCAACGTACCGTCTGCTGTCCGTAATCTGTTTAACACTTTACAAGTAACAGACGGTCGTTTCGAAGAAGAAGAAGAAGACGAAGAAGAAGAACTCGAACGATCTAGACTCGATCTTCCTTTCTTTCTCTTTAGATCGCGGTACTTCATCGATTAGATCGTAGCTACGAAATTATTTTCTTCGAGGGGATATTTATCTATTTTTCTTTTCTTCCAACTATCGATGGGTTTGCTTCGACATCGATCGGTAGCGATCTTTAAACAGCGCCATTAACGATTGCGTGCACAGGCTGAGGGGGTCGCGATCAAATGAATGTAATGAAAGAGTGGCGGCATTAGGCGAACGTGCCGTGCATACTGATTTGCGGCTGATTGATTGGACCCCTTTCCACTCAACAACGGTGCACCATCCCCGCTGCCTACACCGATTTCTCTCTCTCTTCTCTCTCCTCTCTCTTTCTCTTCTCTCTCTCTCTCTCTCACTTTCTATCTCTCTTTCTCTCTCGAATCCGCTCTACGAGTGAGCCAACATCGTTGATATTATCAAGCACCCTGCTGGCATCACGGTACTCGCGAATTTCGGCGTGTTCCATCGTCGCTCACAAGAGATTGATAATTGCACTATGCTCCAGTCCTCGTTCATATCAGAGAGAGAGAGAGATAGAGATAGAAGAGGATGGGAGGCAGAGAGGAGGAGAGATAGACGCTTCGTTCGATCGATCTAAATTTGCACCTAGTTTACGTTTGCATTATTGCATTTGGATAGCTTGAGATCCAGTTTAATAAGCATCGTAATATGCTTAGAAACAATCGATATTTTTCGTCGACGAAATACGTAATATTTTTGTCTTTATTTTGCGTTTTGAGAAATAAGCTTTCGAGGAGAAATGGAAACGACAGAGGTAGGATCTGCAACAACGTCGCTAGTATAGTCCGGTTACTTTCATTGTCTCGAGGACGGGTCGTGCGAACTGTTGGTCTGTAACGTAATTGTTTTTGACGCGGTAATTTTACAGTGTCGTGCGTGCACGTACACGTCCGTCCTGTGACCGCGTAGCACATCGCGACCGAAGCATCGTGATAACTGCTATTTTTTTCTTTCACTTTTTCTTTTTATTTTTCTTTTTCTTTCTTTTTCTTTCTTTTTCTTTCTTTTTCTTTTCTTTTGCTTTCCTGAGTGAACAACTAGGAAGTAACGCAATTCTTTTACTTAATCTTTTTTTACTGTCCTTTCGACGAGGAAAGGGAACGACAGCCTCACTATGCTCGGGAGCCATCTGCCAACTTGCACGTTCTTTCTATTGCGTCGAGACCAAGATCATCCTGAGGTCTTTTCTTTCTCTTCATCTTCTAAGTCTTCCGTCAACCGAGAGAATATACTTTATTCATTTTCATTTAGAATTGGAATATTAATTAATTTATAAATCGAACGACAAGTCGTTGTAAGGCATTTCCCTGAATTTTGGTCTGATCAGGGTAGTTTAAGTATCTACGAGAATGAAAGAGAATGTAGAAGGGAGAAAGAGAGATGAGAGTGGATAAGAAAAAGAAGACGTAGCAGTGGTTAGAGAGTGAAGAGGGAGAAGCTGTACCGCCTGAAGGAAGGAAAGCAGTTCGAGTTCCATCTCTCTATCTCTTCTTCTTGCTTATGTTCACGCAGGTTGCTGTCTAAGGTATGTGCGTGTGGGCGCACACGGGCTCACGGCCATCATCCTCGCGATCCGGA